TGTAACCCCAGCTCTTGTTCATCCAGACGGAGAAGCTGAGCTGTTGATCCTGGCTGTGCTATTAAAACCGGTCTAATTTTTCACTAACAACATTTACAGCCTCAATTACACTCATTGCCACCTCATTTTCTGCTCTGAGTTATCTTTCCCCAGTTATCCCATTAACTGTATTCGAAGGAGCAAGCTTTAGAAATTAGGCTTTTTTCTGAATATGTGGCTCCCACTGAGAAAGAAACACACACCTGTAACTCACATGGCACAGCTTTTACTTGTGGTTTAAGTTACAGCTCGTTCACATGAGGGGAAAGGTTGTGATGGCGTCTGTGAGTGACAACAGCTGGTGATCCATCCCAGCTGGGTATGGTGCAGTACAGCAAAGGCAACTTTGGGTCAGGTGAGAGAGGTGGTGATTAGAAGGGTAAGTCAGAGCAAGGCAGCTGCTGTTTGGGAGCCCTGCATCATGGTCAGCATGACTACCCTGCTGTCTGCTTTCCCAGCCAAGACAAATCCTCAGCTGAGGCAGATGTGAGGTCAGTAACATTTATGGTACATTTAGCTACTGCTCAAGTGGATGATTGCATTTCAAAGACATCACCAGTTCCAGTTGAGGCTGCTCTGCTTAGGATGCACTGCATGCTTATAAGAAATCAAGCTATTGTTTCCCCACCATTCATCATCATAAGACAAGACTGTCCTTCCAAATGATGATCCTTGAACAGCAGCTACAACAATTATTACCCACAGCAACAAGAGGATAGAATTGATGCAAGGAAAAAGGATGAGGTCAAACCCAAAATTGGTTGAGATGACAAAATTTATAAAAAGAGGAAGAATAGATGTTGATTTAACAGGATTTTCACTACTAGAATGGATTAGAACATTTCCTTTGGCTCCAGAGGGTATTCTGGTGAGCCCTTATGTACAGAGATATTTAAAAAAGGATGGAAGGTTTCCATACTTGCTCACTGGGAATTCCCAAAATATCCTCTAGAAACACCTTTTTCTAACTGAATTAACTCAAAAATAGACTTTGTTGGTAGAGTTGGTAGGAGCCAATCACATAAGGATATTTGGTGCTTTGACACTAGAAGTAGAGCAATGCAGAATTTCAGACTAAGTTTCAAAGGAAACCTTTATGAAAGCCCAGAGCTTTCATTGAATCCATAGATATAATTTTAAAAGAGGATGAGATGGAGAAATGAGCACATGGAGCCATCTCTTTTACTTGCATTTTCTACTCCAGAGAGTCATCTTTCCATTGCAGAAATGGCTGTAGCATTCATTTCTGCCCCACAGCCAGGAGAGGGTTTCTGTGACAGTGTCTCCAGCCACATCTGACCCCGATGGCACCCCAGGCTCCCAAAGGGCAGTGTATCCTACATGTTTGCTCAGCCTGTTCCAATAGCTGGAGAACTTTACCTATTTTCCAACTGAATTCAGTCTCTGACTGCAGGAATCATGCCAGCTCAACATTTCAGACTGATTTACAGACAGTCCTTCATACTGAAAAGAGAAGACAAGTGGAAAAGCAGCTGAAAAAAACAGCAGTCCTTAGGGATAACAAACAAGGCAGAACCCAGTGGATTTGGCTCTAACTAATTGCATCCCTTGTCAGCAAAAGCTCTGGAAAGCCTCTTGTCCCTCATGTGTGCACCCACCGTGCTTCTGCATCACTAACTTCGACTTTCCCTCTTTTCAAATCACCGTCTCCTGTGTCAGCCCCAGTCTGCTGCTGGCATTACTGATGCTGCAGGAATTCGATAGCCATTAACTGCTCAACCTAGACTAGCAGGAGCCAACTGTTACCAACACAGCCATCTCCAAAAAAACACAAACAGCACCAGCAGGCTGACAGATTTTAGGGGCTGTTCCATGTGTTCTACAGCAAAGAACAAAGTATCTGGCCTGATAATTTGTCATGTGTGGTTTTCATTAAATAATGATCATAGAGCCATCTAGCATTCAGCACAAACACGTCTCTGACTGCACACTCTTACCTGCAGGTCAAATCAAAACTTCAGGGTTCAAGGTAGGCAGAGGCACCCAACATCCCCTTTCTTTACAGATCTCATAATTTCACTTTTTCCGTATTATTTCTTTGACCTGAAGGTTTTTTTTTTTTAATTTGGGGTTTTTGTCCCCTAGCAGTTTCATGCGGGAATGCAAATATGGACAGCAGGGAGTCATGGCTTGTCTCAGCAAACTCTGTGTCAACACCCAATGCAAAACTTCACAGCAAGTACTTCACACCCAGCAATCTGAAGCACTGAATGTTTGGTGGTTTACTCAAAATCAGCCTGACTGAATCAGTGGCTCCCACTGGAAATCAGAGTTTAGGCCATCCGGTTTTCAGAGATGCTTCTATTAATCTCTGCTAACAGGCCTGCTAGATTAAGCAAACAGCTGTTGATCATCCAGTATTGGCTCCTGCTTGGATGTAATCATTGTGCTAAAAATGCCACGACAGGGTCTCATTACAGGACTACTACAAAAATTAACATTCAACCAGAAATAAGGAAGTCCATGGCTGTGAATATATCACCCTCAAAACACATTCAAATCCAACAACCACACTAAAAGTTTGGCACCTCCTAGTAGAGAACATTCCCAGTCAAATTTGGCCCCATTATATCAATTCTGCATGGGTTTTGGATACTTTATCCAGCAAGCATCACAAGGCTTTTACTGACAGTTCTCTCAAAAATCTAGCAAGGTGCTTAGTTGGAGAGCTGGTTATCACATAATTGGGATTTTTTTTATTTTTCAAGATTCTGCAGTTGATCAAGTTCCTCTTCCAGTTGGGAAGCCTTCAGCAGTGGATCAGACTGCAGAAGAGAAGATAAGCCCTCAGTGCTACAAGGAAGGCTTGGCTGTATGCACTACAGAGATACTCAGAGGTGTACAGAAGTAACTCCAGGAAAGGAGTTACTACAATAAAACACCACTTCTTCAAAAAGAGGCGTTTCTGCAAACAGCAGAGGGGTGAGTCTCAAACTACAGCTTTGGTTTATGACCGCGTAAAAAGTGTTGCACATACCATCATTGTTTCCTTTCAACTTTTTAAGTGTCCACAGAATAAACACTGAAAGGAATCAGTTCAAATTTGACGGGAGAAGTCAGGTCATTTACTTGACCATCAGCCCAACCACAGCATTCCACCCCAGCACAAAAGCACATCACTGTCTGGAGATGGGGTCCTTACACAAAGATTCACTAGCAATAAAAAGAACCAGTGCTTTGAAGTTGCTAGTAGGCAGCTAGTACCCAAAATAGTCACCTACCGATTAGGAAAGCACTGGGAGAAGATTTAGGCTTCTAGAAATCACAAAGTAAATATCCAAGAAAATAAAGTTAGCAGTTTCTGCTATTTGACCAGCTCAGTTTCTTCAGTCATGTTCCAGCTCCAGAAGTGATGCAAGGAGCACTTTAAAATGCATTTATAGTGCTACTCAGCAGAGATAAAGAGTACCTGCCCAGCTTTGATCTTTTTGGAAACCAGACTGAGTAACCCATGGGTGTTTTATTGGGCAGTCTCCTTCCTCCTTGATTAAGCTGATCAAAGAGCCCTGCACTATTTGTTATCAATTATATGCTGACAGGTCCAGCTTCAGGGACTAAGACCTACTACAAATTAAATGCACATGGTATTGATTTTTAACTTGAGTTTTACCAGCCATCGAACACCGTGAGTCCAGCTCTAAAGAACTACCTAAGAGCTGGGCAGAATCAGCTCTCCTGGAGTTGGGTGCTCTTCACAAGCTCAAATGAAGCTGCATTTGGTGATTTGGGGAATGCTCAAGCAAAAAGATACTGCTCTTCAGCACAGATCACATGGTCCAGTACAGCAGAAGCCACCAAGTCCCACACATTTCCAAATCCTCCGGATTACAACATGAGCAGAGGCTGAAATGGACCAGAGCAGAGCAGCAGATGACGTGTCCCCCAGCATCTCACACTTACAGAAGCTCTTTGCTAGATGTTACCTAAATGACAAACAAGCTTCATACCACAACTTCTACATCTTCCTTTTACCACTAGTCATGAAAATGACCTAAAAATAACAAGAAAATATTAAAAATGGCCCTGTGACAAACCAATCCCCCTCTCTCTGACACAGAGTCAACTTCCTGTTACATATCAAAGGCACAACATGATACAGCCCAGAAAAATCTTCCCAGGAAACAAAAAAAGCATTTCAAAATAGCTCCTTTTTTTTAATTGCTATTTTTTCAATAACTACTTACTGGCAGCTTTTTACATCAATACAAAAGCTCTGTTATAGTCTTCAGTAAAAGCCAAATAATATTAAATTGATTAACTCTAAATTGCAGCATATCACAGCCATGTAATCATCAGGAGAGATTTATCCAGAGTAGCTAAACTGAACTGAAATTCCTAAATATAATTGTTTATGTGCGCATTCACTATCTCCTGGCTTCGCTTCCATGCCAAGGTGTCAAACTGCAATGCATTGTATGGCACTAGAGGTGGAGTAACATCACAAACTCCAGGCTGCTTCCCCTTCAGAGCTTCTGCAGGAAGAAGCTGCCCAAACAGCTACATGTACCAGAGTTTGGGATTAAGGATGCAAAGCATCAGGTAAATAAAATGACTCTACAGCCCTGAACCTAAAAGCTACCCCAGCAGAGAGCCCGGATACCAAGCAGAGACCCCCAAGAGCACCTTTGAGAGCAGTTCCACAAGGTGAGAGCTGGATGGAGCAGCATGGAAGGACCACTTGCAACCCACTGCTACTTCCACTGACCATCAAACCAACCCTCTGCAAATCTGTACACCTGCCTTCCAACAAGAGCTGTATCTCCAGGCTTTGTTTTCCAGCTGCACCGTTGCAGAGTGCCAACTCAGACTGTGCTTCCTTGGAACCCCTGTATTCCATCCATGCACCCACAAGACTCTGGCCACGTCTGGTGCACTTCTGCCAAGTCCACCAAACATCTTTCCCAAGGCTAACTTTTTACATCAGGACATGACTAATTAGAGGAGGAATGGTTAATTTATTTATTTATTTTTATTTCTGGAAAGTCTTTTCATCCTTTGTTGGATATCAAAGAAGCACACAGTCCTTTCCCACTATGTTCAGGCCTAGAAAAAGAGGTAATGAGATTTTTTTTTTTATTTTTATGAACAGTGCTTATTAGTGTTTTTTCCTAACCAGTCTAAGTTACACATTCAGAAGACAGTAATGTGGTAAGACTACATTTGGCCTATGGAATATTTGCTGAACTGCTAGCACCAAAGGGAGCGACTGAGCCATATCCATGTCTTCTTCAGTCTTGAAAATGCTGCTATATGTAACTTTTTTGTTTATTCCACGTTCATGAAAGTGCCTGTAGATGAGAGACATAACACTATTTCAAACATCAGAGTCCTCCATGGAGACACAGGGGCAGACGTTATGTACACATCCTACGGGCTCACTTGCTGACAGCCCAGGAGATTGCCAGGGTAGTCCAAAGTCAGTGCTCATTGTTGCGTTTCTTCTTATTTTGTTTCACTTTAAAAAGGGTCAAACACGTTGTTCTGTGAGAGAGATTTTGATCTCTTCAGTATCTTCAAGAAAGGCTGGTCTACTCTCGCACAGAAGGAAACAAAACAGCTCATGTTCTGCATTACACGAAGCACTTGCGCAACTCTTCCTTTTCTGATCTGCTCCACAGACTGCAAGAAAAATGAAATTTAAACCCTGTTGTATTCTGCTACATTGCCATGCAGCTGGAACCATCAGCCTGCCATGCTTCCAGGACTGTAACCTGACTCTGAGCAAGCCAGATGGGTCTGATTGGCAGGAATTCCTTCAAGTAGATAAATCCCAGCATAGGAAAAAAAAAATCCACTTGGCCCATGGCAGAAGGGGCAATCACATGCCAGCTCTTTAATTAAAATTACAGCAAGTCAAGTAGCTGATGCTTTTCCCCTCTCCTGGTAAGGGGGATGAGACATTGTTCACAAGGGTGTTCTGTCGTGCCTCGCTGATCAGCCGGCAGGCCAAGTCCAGGAAGAGTTTCTCCACATTATCCGATTCTTTCGCTGACGTTTCCAGATAGTACATGTCCTGTGCTTCAGAAAACTCTGCAGCTCTCTGCTGGGAGACTTCCCTCTTATCAGCTAAATCAATCTTATTACCTGCATTGATAAAATATTTTAGAAAAGGAGTTAATTTCAAAACCAAGAGAAACTGAGGACTGTGAAGGATAAATAAGAGTTTGGTTTGATGTATGTATGGACAGTAGCTTGGATATGTAACTCCTAGTGCTTGCTCTCCCCTCCAAATAATGGGTTCCCTGAAACACTCAAGTCCATTTAATATCAGCTCATGTAATGAAATATGCCCTGTAAACATCCAAGCCAGTATGCTTTAATTTAGCACCAGTGCATCTGTTTGCTGCTATCAACCAACATTAAAGGATTTCCATGCTAACATCTATTGAAAATTCTCCTGTGCTAACTCTGAGGAGCACTTAAAATGTCAATTACAGCATAGGAGACACTAAATGTGATATTCATCATGTTGTTAGAAGCTTTTTAAAAGCCTGGCATGGAAGGAAGGTTCCCCATTTCAGTATTCCAGTATAGGACTCGGCTGTGGAGGCTGGAAGAGGGATGGGCTTGTGGGGCACTTGCAGAGTGAGGTGGGGTGAGACACCAACCCTTTGGTTCAGAGGGATCTGTCTGGCAGAGAGTTGATTAAAGCCTTAAGCAGCATCTGATGTGATTATACACTATTTCTGGCCACTTAACTTCAAACATGATGTTTCTGCCATAAACCAATCTTACAACAATGGTAACAGACCAGGACCTTCAACAACAGACTGCTCTGTCCACAGACTCACCAGGCTCAGGAGGAAACCTCTCCTGGCCCCACCACTCCTACCAGCAATTTTGTGAGAGATCAAAGGAGGAAGAGGTGGTGTTTCCACCAGCAAGCCTTCTCTCATTGCCTTCCCCTCCGAGATCTCCTCTCCCAATACAGCAGTGTCTTGGACCCACTACGTGCACTGAAGTTACCCTTCTGAACAGATTATTACTCAACACAAGTGATTTATGGGTGTCACCATCTTCAAAGGGGGTGTTATGACTACAATATGATTTATATGCTGTGCTGTAGATGCTATCAATTAAGTTAATGTTCACTGAAAAAAATTAATGTACATTTGTTAATAATTTATTAATTATTTCTGCACCATTTGTACCCAGGCCATACTTATAAAGTATGAGTTTCTTGTATGGAAGCTCTATAAACCCCATAGCTCACTTGAAGTAGCACTGGGGCATGTTAAACTCAAAGATTTTTTCCTCCTTTAAAATACATTTTTAGACACCTCTTACAATGACCTAGATCTTTTCATTTAAATAGCAAACTATTAAAGGTGACACTGTAGCATGAAACTTCTTAGCTTTCCCCAAGTTATTTTTCCACTGTTCTTTATATATTCTTGGACCTTTAAAAGCCAAGTCCCAGCTATCAGATGCTGCAAGCAGAGCATGGAAAAGCACTGGTAGGCAAAATAACCTTCCCCTTGCCTGTAGCAGACAGATGGCCTGAGGTCTGTTTTGCCTTGAGTTGAAGCTCTACAGATTAATATAACATTCCGTTGTTTATTTTTAGTCTCCCTAAAATCCACGCAAGAACATCCAGTTTTGCAGCAGCACTGCCCCACCTATGAATGCTGTCACCCACACAACCACCATGTCCTGATGCCATGTTCCCAGATCCTGACCACTTGAGACAGGACTGGTTGTCCCACACCTAAGGAGTACAGCATCACCGTTGCACTGCACTAAATAGTTTATTTAGTTGTTGTTTTGCACTGGGCGATTTGAAATTTGCACTGAGTATGTTATGTCAGGTAGATTGTTATTTCCCTTCTCCCATCACATGGTCTCTCCCTCATCCACCCCTGTGCCTTATACCCCCTGGTGGTTATCCCTCCTCAATGGTATTATACCATTAAGGTATCCTATACTCAATAGGATACCACTGAGGTCCTCTTCCCCTGCCCCCAACAGGATACCTGCAGTCCTCTTCCCCTGCCCCCATTCCCTTGGGTATACAAGTCCCCTGCAAGAAGGGAACACCCTCTTTTCTATGGGATCTTACACATCACCAGCTCGAGCAGGTCCTCACTTATTTGTGGAGATCTGGGCTTGGAGTCACAAGGGGGACTGCTCCATCCTTAGCTCAGTGGTAGCTGCACCCACCACCTACATTTCAGTCCCCATGGTGGGAAGCATCCCTCCCTGCACACAACAGCCTCAGACCCCAACCAGGACCACCCTTGGCGGGGGTGGCACCTGAACACCCCTCGGAGCACCCCATGTGCAGCGGGAATGGTGGAGCACAGGCTGCAGAGGCAGCCTCGGGCGGCGGGCGCTTACCCACGAGCACGGTGATGACCTTGTTGCTGGCGTACTGCTCGATCTCGCGCAGCCACTCAGGCAGGCAGCGGAAGGACTCCTCGCAGGTGATGTCGTAGGTCAGGATCAGCGCGTTGGCGCTGCGGTAGTAGCTCTGCGTGATGGACCGGAACCGCTCCTGGCCCGCCGTGTCCCAGATCTGCAGCTTTTGGCCACAGCAAGGAAGGGTGGAAAAAGGAGAAAAAGAAAAAAAAAAGTTATTTAATTTTTTTTATTTGATAGCAACAACATTTTGACCTAAAAAATCCCCTTCAGGGCAAAACCAATGCTGGAAAAGCACTTTGCTCCTCTCCCTTCAGCTTTCCCTCCCCCAGCATTGTTTGTTTGTGTTCCTGCACTTGTGGATTGAAATGCAAGGCACAAAGTCAGCTGGCACTGCGGCCAGCGGCCCTGGAAGCCGCAGGTCTGTCGGCTTCCATGCAACTTCCAGCATCTCCCTCTGCAGTGGGCAGAGCTGCCGGCCTGGAGGGGCTAGAGGGAGACAGTAACTTCTCCCACCCCTGAAGTTTAACAACAGCAGCTTCCATTCCCAAGAAGGAATAAGAATGCCTGTCCTCTAGCTCATGGAGGTGGTTGCAGTTATCCAGAGACAATGCAGTGGTGGGTGAAAAGCACAGGATTGAACAAGGAGCTCAGCTGAAAGTTCATCTAAAGTTTGGAACACATTTCCTCTATACAGCTTCAGCCATCTCATCCAGCTGCTCACTGTCTGCCTTCCCAACATGCAGAATTGGCTACATCACGGAATCCCAAAATGGTTTGAGTTGGAAGGGACCACCCAGCTCCAACCCCCCTGCCACGGGCAGGGACACCTTCCATCAGACCAGGTTGCTCAAAGCCCTGTTCAGCCTGGCCTTGGGGCATCCACAGCTTCTCTGGACAGCTGTTCCTGTGTCTCATCACCAAACAACTCATGAATGTTTGCCAAACCCTCTGAATCCACAAAGTCTACATTTTCCAATAGCAACTACACTTACACTGATTTTATGTTTTGACCATCTGATAGTTTTTAGTGGGTCATCAAAACCTCAATTCTTCAAAAAGGAAGTCTAAGAAAAACATCCATGATTAACATAATTTCAAGATAAAAGAATATTTCTCTGCTTCAGCTTTTATTTTTTTAAAGATCTCTCCCTGGAATTAAATATGTGGAGGGATGATTTCCAGCCAAAATCCTGTGTATTTTGGGAAGAAAAAGGTAAAGCATTTGAGATTTTTTCCATATATTCAGCAGCCTGTACAGAGAAAACCTTATTCTTGCCCAGTTCCAAAGCTGAGCTATGCCAGCCACTCATCATAAATATGTTAGTTTGAAATGAGAGCTCCCAGTAGCAGCTTTTAGACGTGGGGTATAATTTTGGGAAAAAAAAACCCAAACCCACACTTTTTTGCAGAGAAAGTAATGGTGGCTGGCTCACAGCTCCTGAGCACCTTTGTGCTTTTATCTCTAGGCATAGTCGTACTTAAATGCTGAACCTGGTATCTGTAAAGTAACACACAAAACCATAAGTGAAATTACTTGCACATGAAAACCAGATAATGAATGAGTCCTTGTTAAAACAAACCAGCCTCCAGACTCTGGCAGATGGAAAGATACAGGTAATTCTGTTGTTATTCAGCTGTTTCCCAGGAAAAACATTTAATCACTGTCTGCTGGCTAACTCCAGCTTATATGTATATATTCTGCCTTTATTGAGAAGATCTCTAAATTGATAAAAACTTAATGTGAATATGTTCCTCCACTGCTTTAATCTAATGAACACTGAAAGCACAAGAGATTGTGGGATCTGGGGAGAGCAGACACAAGTCTACCTGTGAGCTGAGTGCAGAAAGCAGGGAAGAGCTCCCAGTCTTACAGCCACTGATAACTCTTCCTGCACCCAAAATGCACATCTCACACTTTCCCTCACTGGTCATTTCTGTCAAATAAAATATTTCACAGCAACTATTTTATTCGTACAATTTTTTTTTCCCCCAGAGTAACCAAAGGACAATGTCTGACTCAGCCTGCAGAAAACATATATGTTTATTTTCTTGGTGTCAGCTGATGCTTCCTGCCCTCCCAACATTAGCACACACATTTAGCTTTCCATCAAGCCCAGACAGCACAGCCCTCTGCTCACAGCACTGAGGATGCTTAGCTTTGACCAGCATGGTAAGTGCTACCTGCTTTGCTTCAATCTGGGGGCCCTCTTGCTACAAGTGCTGCACATATTTTTGGAGTCTGTTGGAAGAAGCCAGGCAGATCAAAATCCCCCCACAACTGCACAGTGCTCTCCCAGCTCACTGGGCAGAGAGCTTTGGTAGCTGCTCACATCTGGAAAAGCTTGCACACAGCTTTCATACTAGCGAGTCCCTCTCCACTGACTTCATAATGCTAGTTTGAAAGCTGGAAAGTATTTTTTTCCCAGAAATCCATAATTTATTTTCAAGTCTCAAAACTGTTTTGGTAAACAGCTCTGCTCCCTCATTCTGGATCCCAGCAGACATGCAGGGGAGGCTGCCCAGCACAGAGGCAACAGAGTCATGGCTTGGGCACTGCTAAATGGCTAACAGCCAGAGCAGCTCTGTTCTCTGACTCATTCCTGCTTTCCCCTCTCATTAAATGTTCATTCTCACAAGCACTGCTTACTCAAGAAGTTTCAGATACAACACCACTGAAGGAAATCTGCCTTCCAGACGCCAGAGGGCTCATTTCAATGCCCAAATGTGTCATACTGAGCTCCCACCAAGGCTTGGTCACTGAAACAGCTCCAACAACTCCAACTTACTGCACTGGTGGGGGCAGGACAGGGACCTCAGAACCCAGTATTGGCCATGTGAAATACAGCAGATACCCCAGCTAGCACTTGCTAAGGCCCTGTGACACACAGTCCTGCCCAAGGTGATGCAGAGAGGACACTTGTGCATTCATCAGGCATTTACAGGGCAGCAGAGACTTTTCATTTAGCTTGTAGAGCTCCCCTGAACCACCCTTGCCTCTGAGACAGCTCATACTGGCACAACTGCTTCCAATATTCTCTTAAGAACTTTGCACCTTCAGTCCAAATTAGTCTTAAAACAGGATTATGTGACAGGAGCAACACTTCAAACACTGACAAATCCTGAGGGTAAATTCACCAGTACAAACCCCACAGCTCAAATACAAGTGATGTTCTAAAGCTCCAGCAGAATTTGGCAGAGAACCAGGTGCTTGAAAAGGAGAGGTATCTGAAGTGGATGGGATTCATGTCCCCCAGGACTGCTTTTCTCCCTCCAATGACCAGGACAGTCTTGAGGCCACTGATTTATACAAGACAGACCAAATTCCACCTCCAGTACAGTGATCACACCCTCTACCAACTCAGAGCCTCTGAGTTGCTTCACTGGAGCTGCTTTTGGCTGAGAGAAACATCTCTGCTGTCTGAGAAGCTTGGGACAAGCAGCACTCATGTCCTGGCCAGCCCTGCCAATGAGATCACAAGCAGCAAGCTGAGCACCAGCACCACCAGGGCTACACGCGATGCTCTCTGCTTCCCTGCTGCTGCTCTGGCCCTCTTGCAAGCCACATGTTAGCATAAACTTGGTCTTAATCAGGTGAAGGATTTTCCATCCCTTGTCCTTCACCTGCTCAGATGGGAAGGTCTCCTGGAGAAGCACCACCACTTCCCATAGGCTTGTAAGCTCCTCATGCAGCAGTTGCAGCTTGTTGGCATGACCACAGCTCTCAAAATATGTCCTAAACTTAACAACACAGCACCCCATTTTCTTCTCAAACCCCTCTGTGGTGCTGTGGTACAGGTTAAAAAAAACCCAGGGCTGAAAATCTGCCCAAGACCACTGTTTCCATGCCATCACACAAGCTTAAAAACAGGTCTCAGTGTCACATCCAGCCGCTGTTACACTGGTGCCACTCTTGGGTTTGCTCACTATTGCATTTGATGAAGACAGCAAGGGGAAAACTGCTGGTTTTCACTTTGATGCCCCTGAATTTCCTGCAGGCAGAGTAAATCCAGGAGCAGTTCAGGGACCATGGACACCTCAACCTTAAAAGCTCAAACAATTACTTTTTCCTCATCTCAAATACCACAGCAGCTCAAGTGAAACCTCTACTAGTGAACAATGTGGTAGCAGCCAACATTCCTGGGCTCTGGAACCCAACCATGGACCCCATTAAAGCATGAGATGGGTCTCCAATCTCATGCTTTGTGTGTTTTGGCCCAGACAAAGTACCTCTCTGCCAAGTGATGCTCAGGCTCAGTTTGGGAGTCAGCTCAGGACAAGGACAGTTTCCCAGAAGTGGCTTCCATGCTATTTTAGGGGGTGAAGGAGTTAAAAATATGGAGAACTTTGCCCTTTGCAGTCAACCTGTCTGCTGCAACACAAGTAGTTTGATTGGCTCAGCTTCTCCCAAATCCATAGCTTGGCAGAAGTGGAAGACGAGCCCTTGATGTGCAGAACCACACGAGTGCAGATGTCTGTTCTCCCCAGTGGCCATCTTGGGAGCTCAGAGGAGAAGAATTTCCTCAAGCACATCCCAGTGGGAATTTCTGGTGTCAGAAATCCAGTGAGCAGAGGCTGCACTGAAACGCCTCTTTGGGTTTCCTCAAGCTAGGCATGACCTCACTGTCTCCTAAGCAAGGACAGCAGTTTTGCAAGGTCTCCCTGTTCCATTTCTCCCCTCCAGCAGTTCACTTTTACAATCCTGACAGTAATGGTGGAGAGGGGCACACAGATTGTTAGACCCTGCATTGCCCAAGCCTTGCCAGACAGCACTGACATTCCTTGAGTGTCTTCCAGCAGAGGAAGGGCTGCAGCAAGAAACCTCAGCTATGGTACAGCCACATGAATTTACATCTTAAATCATCAGCCTCCTACCTTTACTTTTTCACCGTTTATCTCCACAGTTTTAATCATAAAGTCAACCCCAATCGTGGCTCCTTGCCCTGGTGGGAAAAGCCCCTGGAAGAAAACAAGAGTTTGATTAAACTTATTTCTAGAACAAGACAAAAGTCTCACTGGGTGCCAATCCGCACCCTTTTCCATCTTCAAAATCATTCATCCGATGTCCTCTTCTCATGACACTTCCATCACATTTAGGGTGTGGCATTTCCCCAGCACAAAGGTTACCATAAATTCAAACTGTTTTCCCTGCCTTATACATCCTTAATTATGCAGCAAGTCATCAGCTTCAGAAGTAGGAGCACAAGAAAAGAAAAGGAGGAAAAAAGAGGGGGGGAAAGCCCTTCTGTACAGTTGGAAGGAGCAGGGGAAGTGTGAGGACCTTCCACCCTACTTCCCAATGCATTGAAAGATGTGTGAACATCTGTGTGGGATGAGATGCATTTGCAAGCTCATGCCTTCCCTTCTCCCTCCACAGCACCCTGTGGCATCAACAGGCATTTCTGGCAGCTCTCAGCAATGAGGTCACATTTCAGGAGCAAGGCACAGCACCAGCCATCACCAGTGCCACAGCAATGGCAAGGGACAGCACAATACTGGTGGTTTTGATTGCAGCATCATCAGAAAGGAGCAGCAGCAAACCAAATGAGAGCTTTTTGATTTCTGGTCTACCAAGTCATGTTGGTTTTGGGGCACATCCATCCCCTACAGCAGCTGTGCTGCCATAGAACAAGCAGCAGAAGTTGCCAAAGATTTTTGCTGTAAACCTTTTGGGTATGACTAGCTTTATTGCCACTGGCTGCCACATGTTTTTGGAGAGCATCTAAAATCACTATAGCTTCAGAACTAAAATTAACAGTGAAGGGTAAAATTGCTGACAATTCCTAGCGGAGAGTCCAAAACCCCACAACTTGTGCTTTATTATGCATCATGCAAAGTCTTCCCTTGCCCTGCATCACAGAGGCTATTCTGCCACAAAAAAGGACACTGGACTGCCAGCTCAGGACCCAGATTATTTCCTTAGTAATGATAAATAACAGGGAGCGCTTTGTACGGCAACGGCTGGGGAAGAGACCAGGAAACGTGTTGGTCTTATAACTGGTCCAGAACACCACCAAAACAGGAGTAGCTGTCCCAGTCGCTTTCAGAGGGACTTTCCACCTTCAGAGAGGAATGAGGTCTCTCCAACACAAACTCCAGAGCAGAGCCAGGTGCAGCATTGGATACAGATGCACTGCTTGTGCCAGTGTACCATTGTACATGAAGCATGCACCAAGGGTGTGAGCAACAAAATGTTCTGGAGCATTTGATGCTGGCAGAGCCCTCAATGCAGAGCCCCAGGCTCCATGCTCCCATGCCAGTGCTGTCCCCACCCCAGCATGCCACAGTCCAAGAGGCAGCCAGCCTTACCTGAGTGAAGCGACGGACTAAGCAGGTCTTCCCCACGCCAGCGTTGCCGATTAAAACAATTTTGAAGAGGAAATCATAATCTTCCATACTCATTTACGCAGCTGCAAGAGAGACAGAGAGCACAACGCTGTGTGAACCAAGCCAGTGGGGACATGCCCTTTTATCCCAGCTGAACTTTATTACTCCAAATATTCAGAACAAAGGTCTCTTGGCACGCACATGGATCCGCGATAAGGGAGAAGAGCACATTTCACTCTGAGCAGGGGCATCCACGTAGTCAGAGTCAGCTGCTGTGAAACCTTGGCCCCATTCTGGTTCTCATGCAGTCTCACCTGGCTGCCCACCAGTTAGGGATGCTGGTTTCAGCTTTCCAAGCAGTGCTCCCCAAACCTGAGACACTGATTGCTAGATGTTCTCAAATGTTTGTTTTGCTTTTAACTACACCAGCCCCAAAGGACAGCATGGACTTTATCACATTGTCTGAGGGGGATCATGTAACTGACTCCTGTGAGGGAAATATCCCAAACCCCACCATGAGCAACTCCAGGAGCACACTGGGTGCACACAGAGCAGGGCTTGGGCACACATGAGGGCATAACAGGTAGGGGACTTCATTTTAAAACAAGAGCAGCGTTGCTTGCCTTAAAAACAGAAAGAGCTCATGTCCTAAAAGTGTAGTGAAAAGTGGGGTAACAATTTAGCTGAAGTACAAGAGGTTTTCAGAAGAAAATAAATAATAGATGCTATTAGGAATATTACTACTCTGATAATTTTCTTTAGTTTTGTGAGCAATCTTCAGATTGCTCAAGTGGGAAGCAACTTGAGCAATTTGAACAGAGAGGAGCTGAGGAATTATCCAGCACACTCCATGCCCCAAATTCAAGCTCCTTGGCAGGATGCAGAGACTGATATTTCAGCAGTGTTACAGGAGATGGGCAAGGTTGCCTGCATGGGGGAAGATCCACATGGCTTCCTACCCCACTCACAGCATGGGAAGGACCAAAGGGAGAAACACAGAGCTGAGCTGCTGACAAATGCATTTGCTGCAGCTGAGCAAGTCATGAGGGATGAGGACCTACACCTCCATCTCCAGGGCTCCCAAGGGTGCTGCCAGCACAGGGCCCAGAAAAGGGGTCTGTAACCTCCCAGGACAGAAACAACAGCCAGAAGAGATTCAGGTGGAGATTTTAGGCAGAGAGAAAAAACCAGAGACAAGAAAGCAAATGACAGTGTCCAATTCCAGCTATGTCCAGGAAGATTTAGATATCATCAAAGACCTGCCCTCAAGATATCAGAAAACAGACAGATTTACACACCATCAGTTCAGATACCATGTAAGGCTAAACATCAGTACCTAACCCACCAGTACCTACAGATCAGGTAAAGAATGAGGTGATGGAGTCACCTCAAGGATGGTAGGTGTAGCAGGAGCATGGGGCAGATGGGTGGGGAATGGGGGGAAAAAATGTATTATGAAAGTGCTATCCTCAGTAAATCCCCAGATTGCTTAGGGGATTTTTACAGAGCTGACAAAGGGAGGAAACGCAGGCTGGGAGAAACCAGCTTCTCACACTCAGTCCAAAGTCAGTGTGTTGTCTCCCATCGCCTCCAAAGGTCCTTCCTTTGGAGGGTTCACTGTGACACACACCAGAAGGCTCCAGCTACAGACTCCAGTGCCACCAAACAGCTGTGAGAGGCTTATAGCCAGACAATCAGAGAGCACAAGATAAAGCTGAGACAGTCTGTTTCTGCCTGGCAGAGAACATTGAAACAGCTCTCCAACCACCACCAAGGGTCTGCTGGACCTGAGGGCAAAAGAGGTAGAAGACTGACTCAGCTGCTTCACATCTATGTGGCCCTTGGCCTTTCCAACAGCCTAAAAAAAGGGTAACCACACCAATTAGTGACTAATGAGCTGCATCACATCAGCAGATGGTTAGTAGGAACGCAGCTGAGTCACTGCGCAGACGTGTCACTTCACCCAGGTCAGGGACACAGTGCAGCACAGTGCCACCAAACAGCGGCAGCTGGAGCAGTCCTGAGGATGCTCTGACTTCACCTTGCTCCAACACACAAGTCCTTGCAGATCCTTCCTCTCTCAGTAGAGTGAAAGAGCAGGACCTTAAAACACAGCCCCAAAAAAATGTGCCCCTTTTTATGTTCTGGCGTTCTTACTTTGTTACAATTGTTCTATATCTTCGTGACTGGCTTTTCCAGAGCGGGACTGGATAACAAAAGCAGTATCAAACACACTTTGACAGTGCTCTTAAATGAGGACTAAAAGCTAACATAAGGTTTCAAGGTTTCACAGTAGCTTCTGCCATGTAGAAAAACGTGATCATCCACCAAAAGTCTATTTCCAAACTAATGATACTCACGCAGCACTGCATAATTATTCCTGGGATCCTTCATAACCCAGAGGGCATGCTCCACCCAGAGAGATTTCAGTTCCATTACTTGCACCCTAAACAATCCAAAATTCAAATTTATCTTCTTAGGAAGCTTAAAAATAAACTTTCTCTGCAGATCTTTGAGGTCAGAGATGCTAAATGGCTCAGACATACCCTAGAGTTATGTCTGATCCCCTTCATTAGGCTCTAGGACTAATCATATGTGGTAATGACCCCAAAAGGAACTGAAAGACGAGCCAAGACCATAAAACAAATCACGCAATGATGAGATTATACGCCAGAATTGAAGAGATATGAGAAGTCAGGGCATGGGAAGGGAGAAAGCAAAGGAGGCAGCAAGGAAGAGTGAGCAGTGCTTTGTGAGGCACAGTGGGCAGGTGGAGCTGCCCCTGTGACCCCAGCTGGTGCTCCTCCCTCTGAGGACACACGCTGCCAGTGCTGGCCACACAAACACGGCCCTGGACACGTCATGAGATCCTCCCCTCCTACACACCAAGCCCTCAGCCAAGTGACCTTGCTGCCGACTCAGGCTCACACACCCTCCCCTCTCCCCAGAGAAGCCGTGTCTCACCCTCTACCCCACTGACCACAGTTGGGGAATGTCCATCTCAGCAAGACAGCACATTGCATTATATGCTTGAAAAAAAACCCCAAAACAAACGCTGAGCACAACTTCTCTATTTGTTTTTGTTTTCTTGGATTTTTGGTGTGGGTTTGGGTTTTTTCTTCCCCTCTCTTTTCTTGTGTTTGCAGCTACAAGGCTCTGCCTCACATCCCTGCAGTGGTTTCAAGTGTTCAGGGTGCAGCTGCCTGTCCCACCCTCTGAAGGAGACAGGACCCTGCAGTGAGGGCAGGAGATGGGGTGCCAGTCCATGCCTCAGCCACCCCTTGCCACACTCATTTAAATCACAAACACTACAGCCCAGAGACATGCCTGCCATGAGACGAAGCAGGAGTAGAGTCCAAGGCTGGCAGCAGGGCAGAAAATTTGGTTTCACAGCTGTTTTTCCCCAAAGGCAGTTTATGCAGCTGGCATCCCAACCAGCCTCCATGGGCGGTTCCTGCCAGCCTCACACACAGGATCAGTTTTGTGGGGTTTCATTTCATTTGTGTCACTGCTCTGCTTCACTCCATCAGGAGATCCCACACATGGTCCCTCTGGACAGAACAAGAGGTCAGGAGGGATAAATTGAAGCAGGGCTTTGATTCCACCTGGAGAGGGGATCCATCAGTGGGAATGCAGCTGAAGGACAGCAGGACTTGTTTTAGACTTAGTTTTCACAGATTCATAGAATTATTAAGGTTGGAAAAGACCTCTAAGACCATAGAGTTCAACACTGCCCAGTCCACCACTAAAGCACTTCCCTAACTGACACATTTCCATGTTTTTCAAACACTTCCAGGGGTGGTGACTCCGCCACTTCCCTGGGCAGCCTGTTCCAGCACTTCATCACCCTTTTAGCGAAGAAATTTCTCCTCATCGCAACCTAATTCTCCCCTGATGCAACCTGATGCTTCCTCTCATCCTATTGCTTTTCACATGAGAGGAGACTGACCCCTACTCCACTACAGCCTCTTTTCAGGCAGCTGTAGAATGAGAACGTCCCCCTGAGTCTCCTTTCCTCCAGGATAAACATCCCCAGCTCCCTCAGCCACTCCTCATCAGACTCGTGCTCCAGACCCTTCATCAGTTCCAGTGTCCTTCCCAGGACATGCTCCAAAACCTCAGTTGAGCAAGACAGTGCAATAAATGCTTTCAATATTCTTCAGTTATTAATTCCAATTCAACCAGAAGACTGGTAAGATCCACTCAAACCAAAAGCACAGAAACCAGGCACTTTCACCTCTCCTTCTCTCACCACCCTTGCACAAACCAGTTCCTGCTCCCAGGGAGACACCTGAAAAGGGAAATGGGCTGCCTTTCCATGCTCATGTCCAGCTGCTGTAGACCAGCATGCCCAGGTCCTTTTCCACTGGGCAGCTTCCCAGCCACTCTGCCCCCAGCCTGCAATGCTGCCTGGGCTGCTGTGATCCAAGTGCAGGATCCAACTTTGCCTTGCTGAGCCTCATACAGAGGATCAGATCCAGCCTGTCCAGATCCCTCTGCAGAGCCTTCCTGGCATCCAGCAGATGAACATTCCCACTCCACTTGATGTGATCCAGCTGACTGAGGGTGCCCTTGATCCCCTCTCCAGATCACCGGTAGAGACATTAAACAGGAGTGTCCCCAAAACTGAGCCCCTGGGAACACCACGTGCCAGCTGGATGTAACTGCTTTCACCACCTCTCTCTGGGCTCAGCCATCCAGCCAGTTTTCTACCCAGTAACAAGCTGGATGAAAAACAAATCAGAACAAAAAACCAAACTATTCACAGCTGCAAAGGTTTCACCCTATTTAAGGATTAAGACCAACACCATATCAAGCCAGGAATGTTGATAATTTACACCTCAGGTCTATCCCCACCTCAAAACCCCATCAGAGCCTAGTGCTGCAATCAGGCACAGAGAAGGATCTGCAGCCTTTTCACCTGCTGGATCTAAGCAGTAGCCCAGGGCAGGTTTTGATGTATTTACACAGTTCTTAATAAACAAGTGTTTTCTGTTCTTCATCACCCAACAGCTATAAACAAAAATAAATTTACCCAAACAACTCAAGTTCAAACAGCAGCAGTTATGTATACAGATATTAC